TCTATGCCAAAAGGAGTCTGTAAAAAGAGAAAGATCAAAGGAGGGAAAGAGGAATAAAGTTCAGCAGTGAAAAGATCACCTTTCAAATTCTTCCTGTAAAACAGGAACAAAAATAATTTTAATGTGGTAAGAAAGGTATAGCTAACAAGTGTGGGTGAGGGGAGAAAGACTACAAAAACTCTGAAGAAGTTTCTTTCTTAAACTGTAAAGCACTGATAACCATAATGCTTTCAAACTTTACTCCTTTTTAACGGTAGCTAGTATTATGAAAATGTAATAGGATAAAAAGTGCATACAGTAAGAGGGCAGAATACACTATACTGTGTAGCAGTAAATTAAGTACATGGCTCCAGAGGCAAAAAAGCGTGAGTTTAAATTACTGTGTGACTCTGGACAAGTACCTGAACTTTGTGCCAGACTGTCTTCACTTGCAAAATGGAGGTCTCCTTACCTCTCAGAACTTGGAAGTAATAGAAAACTATCAACAATGCACACAAATGCAGGTGTAGTGGCAGCAGCAGTGGTCGTAATAAAAGTAACCTATTTATGTTTAATCAAGCAGTATTTAAGGAAAGACAGAAGGGCTAGGCTACTAAAAATTGTGTCTCAGGGGTTGCTGGGTGGCTCATCGGAGAAGCATCCAACTCTTGGTGGCTCAGGTCATGATCCCAGGGTTGTGAGATGAGCTGGCAGGGCTCCAAGCTCAGTAGGGAGTCTGCTTAATATTCTCTCTTCTCCCTCTCCCTCTCCTCACCGTGACCATCTCAGGCCGTGGCTAATTACTTTAGAAATCTTGAAAAAAAAATCTTGAAAAAAAAAAAAAAAGTGTCTCATTTCTTTCAACTGCAGAAGGAAATAAGTATAATTCCCCCTATTATACCAATAAAGAAAGGGGAGGTTCATTTCGCTAGATTACTCAGTAAGTGGCAGAACTTAGATGTGAACACTAGTTTATATGGTTACAAAACTTGGCTTCTTTCCACTACACAACATTAACTCCCCAGCACTACATAGCAGCAGGAACACAAAACTATGCATTCTGTTTTTTACTACTAACCTCACAAAATCTGGGCACATCATTAAGTCTATCTGCCTCTCCATCGTCTGAAAAATTAAGGAGTTTTTTTGAATTTGATTTGATTTTGAGGTTTCCCTCCGGCTAAAAAAGTCTATGATTTTATTAAGTTACCCATTTAGTGATGTAAAAACTCATAAAAAGTTTCAAAATACAGCAGAAAACCGTCTCTATTTAGAAAACAAAAACAGAAAAATTGAACACACACACACACACACACACACACAGCTTAAAATTTTTTTCCAGGACTTCACATTAGCAAAAAGAAATAAATGTTAAAGAAAAGACCAACATCTCATTTCATTTTATTATAGCAAGTATGACTAAGCAAATGCTTGAGAGAACAAAATATCAATCTGAAGTATTTCAAGATGCCAATTTTAACACCTACATTTTCAATGGGGGGAAAAAACGCAAAACTCAGAGCCCTGACACATCTACAGACCTTATAATCAAATAACAAGCAGATTTACCGACTTTTATTTCACACCAAAAACACTGCAACCAGGCTGGGGTTTTGTTTGTTTTCATGTCCATCTGAAAACTGTCCTGCACTAAAACGCCTCACTGGCTTCCCACTATCTTTCAATTAACATCCAAAATCCTTAACATGACTCAACAAAGTCCTGAATGATCCCGCTCCTCTCTCTCTGGAGCTATCCTCTGCTATTCTTCCCTTTGCTCTTTTTCTCAATTTCTTTCATTTCCTCCAAGACACTTTTTTTCTTTCATTTTAAGGCTTTCATAAATCTGTTCTTCAAAACCTAGAATGCTTTCACAGCTCTCCCACCATTTCGCCCTAGCAAACTGATCCTCATCCTTTTAAGCTAAGATCAAATGTTATGCCAGCAAAAGCCTTTTTTGACCTTCCAAACATACATTTCACAGCACTCTGGACTTCACAATACTCAAAGATCTTATAATTACTTGTTCAACATTTGTCTTCCCTGCTAAATGGTAAACAATATGAATATAGTTATTTCAGGTTGTTTCCCAATATCCCCAGTATCTAACACACCGCAAAGTACAGATTAAGTACTCAATGCTTGCTGAATTAACATTGAAAATGCAGGGGAAGTCCAAAACCATGAGATATTTTACTAGCACAGGTAGCTAGAAAGTTCCATACAAGTTTTGAGTTACATCTTAACCTTGGGCCTTCAAATGTCCTCCCTTCAAATAAGTGCTATTTGGCAATTACACCTTTAAAGTAAAGCAAAAAAATCCCTTTAGAGAACACATCCTAAAGTTTCACAAAACCAAGGCTAGAAACCACAAGTCTTAAGCAATTGGAATCAGCTTTAAAAGTCATAGAGAACTCATCTAAAATGCAATGAAAGGACAGGAACTTGGATAAGGGCTCAATTTTACCACAGCAATGTACATTATGAAAGGACCAATCCCAATTCCTACCACTGTCTAGGCTGTACTAGCAGCCTTATTTATCCTAACAGTAATGACTGCAGTGCTACAGTCATCTAAGAAGGCTATAAGATATCTGAAACATACTTTATTAAAACTGAATAAAAGTCACAAGCATACACCACGTAACTATAATCTTCTTTTAGGTTACAGTATAACATATAGAGATGTTAAATCACTATGTTGCTTACCTGAAACTAATGTAACATTGCGTGTCAACTGTAACTCAAAAATTTCTTTAAAAAGGAATGCTATTTAAACTCAAATCTTTTTTTACACTTTCTGTTCATCTAATACCTATTGAGTGCTAATTACAAACCAGGCAGTGTCTAAAGATTAACACGTATTATTTCCCCATACAGATGAGGAAATGAGAGGCACTGAGTGAAGTAATTTACCCAATATTATACAGCTGGTAGGTGGCAGAGGCAAAATTCAAAGCCAGCCATTCTGACTCTGAAGTTCATCCTCTAAACCACTACAACCACTGTTGCACTCTCTCTCTCTCTCCATCCATTGAAATAAGGCTTCTATCTGGACCATCTCACTTCAATGAAACTATTTTGCTAAGGTCACCAATGACTCCTACCTATCCCAACTTAAGGGCCACTTATCTGCCTCTACCTTTTTCATCCACTCTGCAGCATCTCATCAAATTGACAACCCACCTCTCTTGCCATACATTTGTTTCGTAAGTACCATAAATCTCAGTCTTGAGATCTACCTCAAACGTGGGCCCTCATTTCTTCCCTATCAACATTCTGACTAGGAAATCTCCCACAATTCCGTAGTTTCAAATACTCTCTGCATGACTCTTTCTCTAGTCCTACGTGAGTTATAGACTCAACCCAACCACCTCTTAAATATCTAACTTGAATGTGTAACAAACACCATTACCTTTCCTCCTCCCCTCAACCTGTTCTCCCCCAGCCTTCTCCATCATCACCCATCCAGCTGTTTAGGCTAACTTCTTAGTCATCATCCTTGATTTCCCTTTCCCTTATCTCCCACATCCACTCCCAACAGCAAGTTTTATCAGATCTACTTATAAATCATATTTTGTTCTGTCTCCATTACCATTCTAATATAAACGACCTACATTTCTGCCTACAGTGCCCTTCAGAATAGTCTCTTCATTCTTGCCCCCTTAATCTCCGCAAAGCAAGCGGTGTTAAAATCAAATCAATCCCTGCTTGCTTTAAATTATTTAAGGTCTCACTGTATTTTAAATAAGATCCTAGGTCTTAACCATGACCTACAGAACCTAAATAATGTGCTCCTGACTAATTCTCCAACCTCCTGTTATTCTATTCTCTCCCCCATCACAATGTTCCTTGCAGCCAGAGTTGCCTTCCTTCTCTTCCTGGAACACAATATGATCATATCTGCTACAGGGACTTTGCACTTGCTGTTCCTTCTACAAGGAACAGTCTTTCTCCTGACTTTAACACAGATGGTTTCTTCTCCTCCTTAAGTGTTGCTCAAATGCTACCTCCTGTGAGAGGCCTTCTAATCAGTCTTTTATATGACCCTCTATTATTACAACCGTCACTGCTATTTTAATCTGGAATTATCTTATTTCTTTAATACTCATTTATTATTGTCTTCTCAACTTTGGAATTTAAAAGCTCTATCACCAAGGCTTCCCACAATATACAGCAGGCACTTAATAAACTTATTAAATGAATGGATTTTCCCTCTTTCATTTTGTTTATTGTAAATCAACTAATTATGATAAAGCACCTGACCCACGATATATTTTGTATGTATTAAAAGTTAAATCCTTAAAACACTCTTATTTTTTCCAATACAAAACATTCCAGCATTCTGAACAACCCCCCCCAACACACACACACTGAGTCCATCTACAGCATCCCACTTAAACGTGCCAAATATACCATATGGATAAATAACATTTTCTTCCTCCTCCCCAAGCTAACAAATCTGCTAGTGGGAAAAGAGAATCTTACTGGGCAGCTTAGCACCTGTTACATCTTCAATCAGTTAAGAGAGGTGCGGGTGAGCCAGATAGCACATGGGAAACGTGGCCTTTCTTTCGGGGACTATATTTAGGTAAAACGTGAATGGCTTACATTAGAACTGTCCTAATCCCTAACAAGGGCCATTCACTTCATTTAAAGAAACAAGGTAAAACAGTCTATGGGCAAGAGGTTATGCTCGGATTCACTAAAAGAAAAGAAACCGATTTGGGGGCCCTCACCAAATATGTGTGTAGATTGGGATCGGTCTACATATAACGGGAAAACAAGAGAAGGAGGTATCAGTTGGAGGACCAACTCAGCGGTATGATAAAGGTCAGCTCAGGCTCTCTGAGGAATCCTGAACCTGTAAGCGAGGGTGGAAATGGAGAAAACACAAAACCCGGGGATCTATGTTCACCGCTTCGGCCTCCATCACAGGCACTTCGGGCAACTGCACAGATCTCTGTGTCCGCCTATCTCCCACTTTCATCCCTGCAAGGAGATAGCCCCCGGATACTCACATGGGCTCGAGAGTCTTGCTGAGCCAGGACTTGAGTGCCTCGAAGTTTTCAATGATCATTTTAGAAACCATCCACAGCGGCCCCGAGGCCCGTCACACTGCTCTGCCCGCCCAGGTCGCGGCCGCTACAGCCGCCGCTGCCCCCGCCCCCTCCTCCGCGCGCCTCCCGCGTGGGCCGCGGTGGGAGGCGCCGGTGGCAGGTTCCCGCGAGCCCCGATCAGCGAACAGCTCTGCGGGTACCGTCGCAGGCCGCGAATCCACGGGGTGCCAGGAGCTCCCCGTCCCCGGACCCCGACTGAGGCAGCAACGGTTTGCCCGGGCCCTCCCCCTTCCCTCCACCCGAGCAAATCTTGAACCCGGAGCGCGACACGCGCCTAGATCCGGGCTTTCACTCAGCCTTGGGATCAGGTGGTGTTGGCAACGCAGAACAGGCAAAAGTGAAGAAAGCGAAGACGAAGGGCAGCTAAATGGAAACGATTCGGGGGGTCTTCCCGGCTCCTAGCACCCCCAAGAAGATGGCTGCCGATAAATCTCGCGAGAATTGATGAAGTCTCGCGGTGACTCCCGGTGCCTGTTGGGAAGAGACGTAAGATCGGCGGGGAGCGCGCTGGTTGAGTGTGGTACTTCGATTTTTTTTTTTTTTTTTTTTTTGGTTATTTACGTGGTTCGCCGCCTTTGTGTTTTTATTTTACGCCTTGGCCCGCGTACGGAATAAAGATTTCCTTTCTTACGAGAAGGGAGAGGCCGCTGACTTCAGAAACAGTGGGAGTCCCAGTTCGTCCTATGTAATAGATGGCTGTGGCGCATGAGTGGAACGAACCTCCGGACCAGAGCGCTCCTTGAGAGCGTCTGCACGTTGTGCTGGGGACGAAGGGCGGCCCGTGGTCTCCAGGTGTGCTGTACTGCCTCCTCCGTTTATCTCAGTGTCCTGCAGTACCGTACTGTGCGCTGTGGTGTGGCCAGGATTGGGAAGCACAGGCTGGTGTAATCTAACCCTTGGAGACTTCTAGAGGATTGGTGTCTTGTCCAAAATTACTCGCCTTGATCGCAGAGAGGTAATGATCTAGGGCTGCCCCAAAAGAAAGGTGAGATAACCTCGACGGTTCCGAAATAGTTTTCGAACCATCTGAAACTTCGGACTTTTCCCCCAGCTAAAATAAGAACAGTGTGTTTTTAATTCTCTTCCTTTAGAGCCGATTCAGCCACAGATAGGAAATTAAATAGTGTCAAAAGACCCTTCATATCAGCGTTCTAAATAAATTAACTTCCCTTCTGGGGAAGTTTGAATCCTGTCTGTGTTAATTTATTTGCTATTATTTACTATGGTTAAGGTACTAGGTGGGATTTTGCGAAAGGTCTAGTGCCTGTAAACTATAATGAAATGAAAATAATTAGCAACATAAAGACATTTAGAATAAGTAGAACAATAAAAAGCTCTCGTGGCAGGCGGTGGTAGACGAAATTGTCCTTAAGAACTCTGCGTTTGTAATTTGCTAGATTGAAGTGTCCTTAAGCAATAAGTGGGAAAGATTATCAAATAAAAAAAGCTAGACATTTGTTTTAAAATACAGCATGTAGAGTAGAATGAAATTAGAATTCAGTCACCGAATAACCTAGATGTTGGTTAAAGTGATTTAGCCAAGTGAAATAAGTTAGAAGCAAGAGGACAAATATCATATGATTCTACTTATGAGGTACTTAGAGTAGCCACACTCAGAGACAGAAAGTAGAATGGTTGGGTGTCAGTGGTGGGAGAGTAGGGGTAGGATGGGGAAAGAGTTATTTGGGATGCTGAAAAGTTTCTGGAGAGGAACAGGGTTGATGGTTGCATGGTTAATGCGATCCAATTGTACACTTAAAATGATTAAAACAGTAAATTTTATGTATATTTTATGACAATAAAAGTGATTTTTTAATCTTTTTAAGATTTTATTTATTTATTTGACAGAGGTCACAAGTAAGCAGAGAGGCAGGCTGTGTAGAATGGGGGGGGGATGGTGGGAAGCAGGCTCACCGCTGAGCAGAGAGCCTGATGCCCGGCTCAATCCCAGGACCCTGGGATCATGACCTGAGCTGAAAACAGAGGCTTTAACCCACTGAGCCACTCAGGCACCCCTGATTTTTTTATTTTAATGTTGCTGTGGGAAAAGTAAAATCCTAATTGTTTAGCTTGTTTATTTAAGAGACTTGTCTTGGGCTGACTCCAGGAGGGTTTTCAACTTCATCACCAACTGTTCCTTAAATGTAGGTGCCTCTGCTCCTGCCTTCCAAAGCTAACCACCGTTCTACCAATACTGTATACTCTAGGTAAACCGATTTACTCACCCTCCACTTCTCCAAACACTTATCTACATCATTTCCACAAGGAACACCTCCACTTCTTTCTCTGGTTGCTCAAACCTTACCCACTCTCTCCTAATACCACTGGTACTGTATGTTTGAAGTCTTCTTTGACTTTTCCTAAACAATAGCAACAGCCTTTTAATCTTTGCCTCTTTGGCTGTCCCCATTATCAGTTCATCTTTAGTTGCCTTTATCATCATTGACTTTAATAGCAATCATTGTAAAACTTGCATGTAATCATGTAACTTCCCTGCTTACAATCTTCATCAACTCCCACATTGTCTTTAGGATAAAAATCAAAATTTTCCAACATTCTATAAAAGGGCTTTCATAATCAAACCCCTACCTATTTGTCTTAGAAAGTTCTTTCACTCTCTTTCAGGCTTTGCTTCAGCCATCTTGAGCTATTCCATGTTCCTTGGAAGGAGGTGTGTTCCCACACTAAATGGGGCTATTGCGAATGTTTTTTCTTCCCTTTCACTTGATGAAATCCTATTCATCCATCATAATTCAGTGTATACAGCCTTACCTTTAGAAAGGCATCCCTAACCTCCCTGCTCTAAACCAAGAGTCACTCTGAGATTTTCTCCTGTGCTTGCGTCTGTTATAGCACTCTTGCTTTATTTTTCCAAGTATCTGATTATCTCTCCCTTAGTAACTATAGTTTTGAAGCTCCTGCTCCAAGCACAGCCCCAAAATATTCAATCAGTTCTCAGTTTTTTGAATGATTCAGTGAACCTCCGCCATTTCCATGAAATCTTCCCTGACCAACGAAGCTGACAGTGACCTCTTCCTCCTCTGAATCCATTGTACAGTGCTTGTTATTATTCCATATTTAGTCATCAGTGCTTTGTAGCGTGCTTCTCTTTCTTAACCATTGACATCTATCCCTTATCACTTCAGTACTTCATCTTTGGCTTTGCCTTCAAAAGTGATAATTAGGGGCACCTGGGTAGCTCAGTGAGTTAAGCCTCTGCCTTCAGCTCAGGTCATGGCTTCAGGATCCTGGGATTGAGCCCTGCATCAGGCTTTCTGCTCAGTGGGGAGCCTGCTTCCCCCTCTCTCTCTGCCTGCCTCTGTGCCTCCTTGTGATCTCTCTCTCTGTCAAATAAATAAATAAAATCTTTTTTTAAGTGATAATTAGCTAGTGTTATCACTGCTGCTAAGAAATTACTAAAACAACCTCTGTTGAATACTTTCTGCATTCAATAACAAACATTTCAGAATGTATGTCAGTATTAGGTTACCTAGTTAACATTTTCCAATACACTGTGCTCTTTGAAAGCCCGTTGACTTTGTTAGTGATGTTCCTTTTGCCTGGAATGACTTTCCTCGTTGCTCAAAAACCAGCTTCTCACTGATGCCCTAGGCAAGGATAGTTGCCTCTTGGTTGCTACCTGTAGGATATGAGTTAAAACATCTTGTTTAGTTTTCTTCTCTGTCTCCTTAACTAGATTATGAACTCTTTAAGGACTAGGACTCAAGCTTATTCATCATTGTACTTCCCACGCTTAGCACAGTGTCTGGAACTCAGAAATGTTTACTGAAGGATATGTGCTTAATTTTAAATAGGAAAGAAGTAGAGGCAAGGGAAAATATTTTGGACAGACAAGCCATAATGATACTTCCTAATAGACTTGTATCTCCTCATGGTTTATTTAGCTGCCCTGATCCTAGGAAGATTCTCCATAGTGTAGTTAACTCCTTCATAGGTTCTTCCAGTTCTCTCTCCTAGCTGATGGTTGTAATCTTATTACTCTCGGTGGTGTCTTTGGGCTCTGGTTTAAAAACTCAGCCTGCATTTTTACATCACAAAGATACTCTATATGTTCTATTTCCTTTATAGTTCATTACTCTCCAGAGAATCACATTTAGATCCTTATTCTCTCTGGAATACATTCCTTTATTTGGTGTAAGGTGGGGAGCTAGCCTATTTTTTCTCCAGATGGCAAGCCAATTTTTCTCTGAAATTCTGCACAGCAGTATATCCCTTTCTCATTGGTTTTTGATGGCACTTTTATTGTATATCTTATTTCCATTTATATATGGCTCTGGATCTGAACTCTTCAGTTGGTCTCTCTGTTTATGACTACAACTGTCATAAATAAAACCTGTTGTTTTTACTTACCAAAACATAAAAAACCTGTTGTTTTTATTTACCAACATCTTATAGTCTATCTTAATACCTATAAGGGCAAATCCCCCCTTTTTGCTTTTTTTTTTTTTTCAAATTTTACTTAATGTAAACCTTTGTTCTTCCAAATACTTCCTAGAACAAGATTGTTGAGCTTGTAAAATAAAAATCCCTTATTGAATTTATAGGTTAATTGGTTGCGTGGTAGTCACAGGTGCACTTCTCAGATCTTCCTTCAAGAAAGGGCTCGCTGCCCAACTGAAGGCATATAGTTAGCTGACAGCCTCCAGCTGTTAACTCCTAGGTTCACCTGAGCTTTCAAGCTGAAGTTACACTATTTTCAGGGCAGCCCCTTTTCCCCAAGCCCATCCTCAGCCAAAGACCGTGTCAGGCATTGTATAAGGACATACTCAACGTTGATGATAGAGGCTCTGTGAGATCTTGCATGGCAGTCTGACAGCTCCCCCTGCCCAGTCCTGCTTCCTCTCTTTCACTTTCACAAGTGCTAGTCTGCAGTAAACCTTTTGCACTTCTAACTCAGCATCTCCCCAGAGAATCCAACTAATGACACAAGTTATCTGATTCGTTCTATTTTTATAAATTAAAGTCATAATTAATAACAAAATCTAGCCATACCTTCTGGCCCAATTGCTTCTTTGAAACCATCCCTATCCAACTCAATTTAATATAATCTCATCCCAACACATACCTTCTTGGCAAGCCTATGACTTTCTCTGGCTGTCATTGATTTAGTACCTCTCATTGAATTGAATTCCCTGTGACCTCCTTGAGTACTTTTTTTCTTCAGTTACTTCTTTATCTCCTGTTTTCAACCCTTGTATTCTACTAGGCCTTTCCAATGCATTGTTCAACAAATGTTTCCTAAAGGTCTCTTCTCCACTGCTTGCTGAGAATACAGTGGTAGACAAAAAAGACACTGTATCTGCCCTAAGGAGCTTATAGGCTCGTAAAGAAGGCAGACTTCTAACAAATAATCATATAGGAAAAAAACTTACAAAATATATTAGATATTCTAAAGAGGGGGAAATGAACCATTTTAACAG